GTGGTCTAAGGATACTGCTCTGTAATGCAGAGAGGAGAGTGTAGTCTCATTTATAATGACTGAAATTGAGTTTTCTCTTTGAAGGACAAAGCAATTTAATTTTAAGAAATATTTGAGTTTATCATGTAAGGAAAGAACTCTGTTTTAACAGGTTCATTGAATTGTATTTCTTCATTTTCCCTTTGCGGGGAGAAGTTATTATTGGTTTTATTTTGATTGAGGTAAGATCTCTAGGTTTATGTCAATAAAATTTCTAATTCTTTGTCTTTGTCAGAAAAATTTAGAGACTTTCCCTAGCCTCCCCCACCTTCCTCACACCCATGAATCAACCCTGGCCAGTTTGGCTCAGTGGTGAGCGTCAGCCTGCAGACCAGAGTCCCGAGTTCAATTCCGGCCAAGGGCGCATACCTCGGTTGCAGTCTATCCTCAGCCCCAGTAGGGGTCATGCTGGAGGCAACCAATCAATGTGTCTCTCTCATATCAATGTTTCTCCCCCTCCCCCTCCTGCTCTGTCTGAAGATAAATGTAAAAATATCCTCGGGTGAGGGTTAAAAAAAACAATGAATCAATAAACATAAGCTGTGGGCATGCAAATAATAACACCTCAAATCTGCTTTTGAACTCCTCTAGTAACTTGACCACTTTAATTCTTATTTCTAAATCCAGACATTCCCTTTAGATTTACTTTTCAAATGACTTCTCTTTATTGAGATTCCCTATTTAGTGGATCATTGTCATAATATTTCTGTATTTGAACATAGCTTATTTCATTCTTTGAACATACTTATTACACAGTAGTTCCTCTTCATCCATGGAGGGTACCTTCCAAGACCCCCAGTGGGTGCCTGAAACCACAGATAGCATGAAACCCTATATATGCTGGGTTTTTTTCTTATACATGCATACCTATGATAATGTTTAATTTACAAATTAGCCACAGTAAGAGATGAACAATAGTAACTAGTAATAATATAAAATGACTATAAAACTATAGTGTAATAAAAGTGATGTGATTATGGTCTCTCTTACAGCAAACTAGCAGAAATTTCTTTTTCTTTCTTTGCAATTTTATGGATAAGAGAAGCGTTTCCATGGATCTTAGCAACCTCAGCATATGTGTTTTGTTTTTTTCTTTCCTTATTGAGAACTTTCATCTTTTCACTTAAAGGAAGCACTTTACAGCTTCTCTGTGGCATCTCTGAATTGCTGTCATCACTACTCCCGTGCCTGGGGCCATGATGAAGTAAAACAAGGATTATTTGTGCACAAGCACTTGCAATACTTTGACAGCCAGTCTGATAACTGAGGCGGCTGCTAAGTGACCAGCGGGGGCGGAGTGTGTGTGGTGTAGACACTCTGGATAAAGGGACGAATCACATCCCGGCGGGACAGAGCGGGACAGCACCAGATCTCATCACTTCTCAGAAGGGTGCACGATTGAAAACTCATGAATTGTTTCTTTCTGGGAATTTTCATGACTGTTTTCAGACTGCAGTTGACTGGGGGTGACTGAAACCAGGGAAAGCTAACCCGTGGCTAGGATTAGGCCAGTGTACTTTGGTGAAGACAGCCCTCTAGGAGTGCCTTCTTGTCCTCATCTTCCTGTTAAATGTTCATGTCTGGCTCGGCTAGTCTTTTTCTTGCTCTCATTAGGATTGTGACTTCTGGTTGCCTTCAGTATGAGCCTTTCTGTTCATTTGCCTGTAAGCTTGCTATTGTTTTCATCAGTTTCCATGGTTATGGAACTGTTCCATACTTTGCCCCAAATGAAGTCAGATGCCCTCAGGGGTGACGGCGTTTGCTTAGGCAGCTTGTTCTTCACTGGCTGCATTACTGCAGAAATGGAGTGGAGGAGGTCAGGGGTACATTCCGGGTCAAAACATTAACTATAAACATGCTTACAAAAATGTCAGTCTTTTTTTTTTTTTTTTAATAAACACTTCTTTGTTGTATGGCTTTGGTTGATTCCCACAATCCTGAAATTACTGCTTTAGAAACCCTGTCAAGTTTTATCATTGCTTTTGGGTAGTGGATTTGCTCAGGTCCTTACTCTATCATTTTAGAAGGTCCACATTATTGTTGAGGTTCAGAAGGAATTGCTCAGTGTGCCAAGTCAATATATAAAGTGAGATCTATGGGTCCAGTGGCCTTCCTCGTCCTGCTACAATGGCAAAATATCAGATACACCAAAGACGGGCACAGAATACCACACAGCCTGTCGTAGGTCACCCCATCATCTCTAACTTGTGCAGGATGACTTTTCCTTCTTAGGGCAACTTTTCTTTTTGACCTGAAATGTCTATTCTTTTCATATGGTATGTAATCTTTTATAAGATTATTAATTTTTTTAAATAAATCAGGTTCTTTTTACAACTAAAAGATGAATTTAGAAAATATCAGCTTTATAATGAGCACATTTTTAAGAAATCTGTTAACATGACCTACTTTCAGTATTATAGAAAAATCAACAGGCCTGCATGAATTTCTTCTTTTCTAACTACACCACCTTTGGTGAGAAGCCAAGAACGTAATAGGCATTGTACACTGATGGACTACTGATGAGGAAATCATCATGTCTGCCCGTTATAGTCACAGAGACATGTAAAGTGTCAACCAAAAACTCAGAGAACCTCCGTGTTTTCAACTCCATGGAGACTTTAGCCTCTTTTTATACAGTATGCGCTTTATTGACAATGTGACTTTTAAAAATGTAGATAATTAGCATTGTTTTAAATACAGTTTTGAAGTTTGCTAACTAACAATGAGGAGGACGACATTACTTTTCTCTGTGAAATAATCCTAATACCAGACATAACTTCTCAATACATGATGATCAAATGAATGTATGAATCTGTATAGACATTCTAAAAAAAGTGATCACTGATCAATTGGATTAGCTGAACTCAGCCAGTTCATAAATTATGCTTGGCAAACAGAGTAGTTTTACATTTTTCAAGATTTTCAATATCAAGTGTTTTTCTATACAGCTTCTTTCTCCACATAGCACTGAAGAGCCAGAGCTGAGGCTAAAGGGACTGGGCTTCCTTCACTGTCCTATGGGGTCTAGGTCACATATATAAGCTAGTTTCCTGGCAGTAGACTTTGTGACTCTCTGAGTTAAGTTTTAATGAATTACTATCTTTGATTTTTTTTAAATTGACTTTAGAGAGAGAGGAAGGTGAGGGAGAGAGAGAGAACCATCAATGAGAGAGAACATTGATTGGCCGCCTCCTGCATGCCCCCCACTGGGGATCGGGCCCACAACTTGAGCATGTGCCCTGACCGGGAATCGAACTGGCGACCTCTTGGTGCCTGGGTCAACGCTCATCCACTGAGCCACACTGGGCTGTATCACTATCTTTGAATGAAAGGTCTGTTTCTTATTAACAGCAGCCATCCCCAACACTGAAGTGCCTGATAAATAGCTCAGTGAACCCTTTCATTCGAAGACTTTCCTCATACACTTGTCAAATATACATCCCTATTTATTGGTAGTTGTATGTCTTATGTAAAGTGTTGTAACTTTAGGTTCACTTGGATTCTGTATGAAATTTTCCAAGAGCATCCTGTCTTCTTTATCTGTGTAATCTCAGGACCTACCATATTAGCTAAAAGATCTATGGGTCTCAAATGTTAGTCAGCGATTAAATGATTCAAAACTCATAGGGCTGGTACTCTATCTCAAATCCACTAACTTGTGTCCAGGGCCACTTCACCTGTGATGTGTTTCATCTTTGACATTATTAGTTTCTACAGATTAAATTATGAAACTGTATGAAGAGTGGCAAGGCCCCCTATTATCTGTCTCTTACCCTCTACCTTTCTCATGGCATTTACATTGTCTTTTCCTGATTCTCTGTCTGCCTTTCCCATCAGAACTATGATTTCCTTCATGAAAAATGCCATGAAATGTTTTTCTCTACATGTCTATCATCTAGCAAAATGTTTAACACAGGAGAGAGATTCGGCAATGTTAGTAGAATTTAGTTTAAATTAACATTGTTGTTAATTTATTTGACTGAATTGTGGCTATAATGTAATCAAATCAGATCATTGTTTTTGCTATTCCTAAGAGCTGGATAGAGTTTAGAAAACTCCAACAGAAGGTCTTAACAAACAGGTGTAATGAAATTCAAGCAGATGGTCAACAATAATGCCAAGTCCATTGTTATTTTGACTCCTTAGATAATTATTATGGTGTGCCTTGGCATGGATGGAGTTTGATAGCCAAAATACTCATTACTTACTACGTTCACTTTTAGGAGAGCCAAGAAATCAATGGATTTGATGGTTTAGCTAGTTTATAATGGACAATTTTATTTGGGTTGAATCAGGTAACTGAGTAGGAGGATTTTAAATTATTTTTAGAATTTTTTTTTTAATTTTTGAGGAAGAAGCATGTTTTATCTGTAGAAGTACAATTTACTTTGTTTTCACCTGGCCACCATGGACCCAGAAAGATTTTGCTTCACGTAGTCTTGTCTGTAGAAACCAGGTATAGTTTTATGCCTATCATTTAAATGATTTCTCTCTTGTCTTTCAAGTAACTAGAACTATTCTGTACTTTAACCTGACTTTGTGGTTATGGAAACACTAAGGGGTGTAATAGTTCCAGGGGAGTTTTAAATAAAACTACAGCTCAGATTCCTCCTCCAAAACTATCTAACCAGTCTTTTCAGAGTAGATCAGAACACAGATTTGCCTTATTAGCAATAGATATGAACAAACTCTACTCTCATTTAAGCGTTTTGATTCTGTTCTGGGCACATTTTATAAACTTTGAGTTGAGGTGCTACTGGTAACACCAGGTAGCATGTGTCTCTAATAACCCTTTGTCTTAAAAGTGATTCATTTAAAATGAGAGTTTAGGATCATACTACTGCTGCATCTTCAGGAATCTCCTGGGTAGCCTCCTCCTGCTAGCACTTGGCACTTTTAGGTGCTCCGACCTGAAAGTGTTTTACAGCAGGAAATGGCATGTCCTATTGATCATGTGGAAAGAGACTCAAGCATCCCGTCTTGTTATTGAATACTGTTAGCTTTATTATTATAATAGAATACAGTATGACATAAAATTAAGAGCTTTTGCTAAACTCTGTAAAGCAATACATGCATCTGCCATAAACAACCTCGATTCATGTTAGGTTTTATTGCCACTCACTGCACTAATGTGCAATAAACATTCAGTGTCATCTTTTAAAAAATATTCCTGGGAGGAAACAGGAACTGTCCTCTATAAGAGTGTAACTTTATTTTCAAGGAAGACTTAACTAGTATTACATGGGTGAGCAAAGCACTGTAGAAAAGCTACATAGAATAATTTGTCTTTGATAAGTTATGCAATCAATTAATACAATAGAATACTATCCACATGTACTAACAAACTAAGAAATGATAGGAATGCAGTCATTGCATAGCAGAAAGCAGACTAATAAGAAATTTTCACATCTAATGAGCAAACTACAGACCAAATGTTAGTCATGACGAGTCTGGAAGAGAAAATGCTCTTAATAAACACGTTAGATCAACGCTGAAAAAGAACAAGATAAACAGCAACACAGGAGTTAGAGCCATATTTTATTTTATTTTCTATACATGATATCTACACAAGATACCAGAGGATGAACATCCTTGGTTCAGCCTTTCTTGGCCTAGCTCATGGAATTTAGGCAGGACCAAATCAAACAATAAAGCACATTTAAAAAGAAAACCAGAGTTTGTTTAGGAAAACGTAGTGTATTTTCCTACATCATTGGATAGCAGCTTTTGGAGAAAAACGTTGTTCCCAACCTGGGAATGGATCCCAACCATCCTATTTGGCTATTATGCTGACAGGTTTATGTTGTAGCATTCTAAGCGGGTTTCTTAGACCATGACCTAACCATGACCTGTGGGTTCTGGATGCAAATTTTAAATATCTCTGAAACTCTATGAGACAAAAGGAGACTTCAAAAATACCTTCTGCATAAATATTTATCTCTAAAATATCTGGGAGGTAATGAAACAGACTAGAACTTTCACAGGGAGTATTAATGAACCTCTTGTAGTTAAAGCCCTTACATAGTATACCTACAAATATATTGCTACAGTATAAATGAAATGTAATAATATTACTCAATAAAAGCTATTTCCTGTACATTCTTTCATGTATTTTTATATTTGGTGCTACATATGGTACAACACTTATTGAAACAGTTGGTATCAGCGGAGATAGCAGGAATACACAGTTGATTGTTCTAGCTCTCACTAATGCGTTTCCATTTTCTTTCTTATATTACAAGAGCCTAATTTAGGGAAACGTAGCTGGACTGGAGCAGACAGCAACTGATTAACTACCGTACACTGGACAGCAGTAGGAAATGATGTTTTCTCAATGTAAGTGAACTTTGTACCCATATATTTGCAGTCCCATCTGATTTCTACAAGCTGTTCAGATCTTAAATGCAGGCTCTAAAGGTATTTCCATAGCACTTGACAACATTCTAACAGCTAAGAGCGGTGAGTCTTACACAATATTTTAAGAACACAACCTTAAAAAAAGTAAAAAATGTACAATCTCATGCTGTATATTTACATATATAATTTATATATTCTATTTTTTGTTCACTAGTCATAAATTTCGATCTAAAGCTTTTAATGTACTGTTATATAAAAGAATACATTCAACAATTCTAGAGCTTGCAAAATATTTTTGCCCCTCCCAAACAGCTTTATGATGAGAGTGAAGTGATGTTTGGACCCATGTGCTATCTGGAAATAGACATGATGAGAAAGGGAATCTTTTAAAGTTATTTTATTTAATTTTCCGATCTTTTGCTGTATGTTGCGTGTATATCATTGTTAAAATGATTCCCCATCAAGTCTAGTGGTAAAAGTGCAGATGATGCTGAAACCCCCTTCTTAGAGCATTTCTCTCCGTTGGGTTAAATGTGCTCTACAGGGAACTGCTCCTTTACATATGCAATTTCTGTGAACTTTAAAATAGCATTTAGCAACAAAATAACACGTTGGGCATCTGTAAAGGAGAAAGAATCAGGGTCTTTAGCTTTGTAAACAAAAATGTTAAAGGTATACATCAGTTTAAAAAACAAACAAGAATGTAAGCACACCATAGTTTGTGCAATAAAGACATAGATTCTTTGAAAATTTTCTTCATGAAACATTAGTAATTTATTCTTTTAAACACCTTCACATAAAAATATTTTTGACATATACAGTATCTTCTTTTTTATTTATTTAGAATATTTGGAAATATATATCTACAAATGATCTAGAGTTATAGTTAAGTTTTTCCTTCCACTTTTCCTCCTGTCTTTGAAACTACGTCCCCCTTCTTCCCTCTGTCTTTCCTTCTGTCTCCTTCTGTTGGGATTTTTTGCTCTCTTGTTCTCTCTCTCTCTCTCTCTCTCAGAATCCTGTCCCTCAGCTGTGTACTCTGCTCTGGACTGCTGGACAGGGGTCTGTTGTATGAATTATGGAAATAAGGAAACCTTCAGATCCTTTAAGAGAGGCAATAAAGCAGATGGGAATCACTGCGTTGAGAACAAAAAGCAATTTCCATTGCAGAGGACCGACCAGCAGACTGCGAAGAAAAGGACCTATTTATGCGGGGTGGGCGCTTTGAGCTGGGGCTCTCTGTTTAAATACGTCGCCCAGTAGACCAAGTTAAAGATCCCAAATAGCAGCGGGAAGGCTATTCTTGACAGCCGGTCAATTTTGCTGACACTGTTAAAGGTTTTCTTGGGTTCTGGAGGTTTTGCATCTGGCTTGGCTTCTTTTGGTTCTATAGTTGCACTTTTAGCGATGGTGGCTAAGCCAGGGTCACCCCTGGCCATGTTAGGGGTGTAGCTAGTTGCTGTTGGAGCGTAAGTGTTATTTTTCTTAATGAGAGGATCCTTCACTTTCTTTGGCTGTAGAAAGAGAGAGTAAAAGTATTTTGTTTAGTAAACTGTGAGGGAAGCAAGTTTGCAAGTTACTGAGTAAAGTGACCTTCACTTTGGAACCTAAATCTGTGCTTTATTTAATAACTGAAAAATAGAATTGATGACGGTACCGTTTGGGATAAATGGGAAACGCAGACACCAATGTTCAGTTGTAAGATTAACAGTTTGGGAGGTCCAGTGTGCAGCACGGTGACTGTAGTTGACAATACCGTATCATGTACTTGAGTGTTGCGAAGAGAATAGATGTTAAAAGTTTCCACCCCAAAAAAGGGGGGGAAGGTATCGGACAGGATGGCAATGGTAGCTAATGTGTGGTGGTAATCACTTCACAACGTATACATGTAGCAAATCAGCCACATTGTACACCTTACACTTACCCAATAATATGTGTCAGTAATATCTTGATAAAGCTGGAAAAAAATGCAGACCCAACATTTCCCCGTCTTTCCTGTCTGGAGCTGGAGTCTGTTTCCCCACCAGCTGAATCTAGAGCAGGCTTGTGGTTGTGGACAGAGTGATGCTGTTGCAGTGATGCCGGTTCATTCAAGAGGCTTTGCAGCCTCACCTTTAACCTCTGGAAACGTGGAGGAGCCTGGACTAGATACCGAGGGACAGAGGCGCAGCCACCATCAGGCTCGGGGCGTGGGGGAGAGGCCACTGTGGACCCCCTCACCCTGCTGGAGCCCGAGTGAGCTGCCCACGTGAGTGAGCCCAGGTTAGACTAACGGAAGCACCCCAGGCCGCTCCCCACCTCAAGTGCTTGGTTGCTGTTTTAGGTCACTACGTTTTGGGGTGGTTTGTTTTGCAGCAGTGAATTGCTGAGCCGATTATTATTATTTGCTCCTTCTCCCCATGTTTTGGGTGGGCAAAATGATAAAGCGGAATTATTCAGAGTATCCCGAGTTCAATTCTTATTCAATGTCAGCTGCTCATCCATGTTATCTATGCAGTAATTGACATCTGGAGCATTTCTGAGGGTTTCTGTCATATAGACATTTCCAAAAAGTCGAGTAGATCATTCTTTATAGCTGTGTGGCCCAGTACAGTTGCCAATGGCCACCTGCGGCTACTCAGCAATACAATGTAGCTAGTTTGATTAGAGACCTGCTATAGGGATAAAATACACATAGGAGTTTGAAGACCCGGTGTGAAAAACAAATAGTAAAATATATCTCCTTATAATAATGTTTTGTAAGGTTTGCATGTTGTAAAGAATATTTTTGATATATTAGCTGAAGTATAATATTAAACTTAATTTCACTGGCTTATACTTAAAAAATAAAGCTACTAGAAGATTTCAAATCACATATCTGGCTGATATTTGCAGTTCACTTCTGTTTCTGCTGGAGGCGATAGTCCAGAGGAGTGGTTCTCATTCTTTTTTGCACAGCAGATTACCCTGGCCGGTTTGGCTCAGCGATTGGAGCATCGGCCTGCGGACCAGTGAGTCCTGGGTTTGGTTCCCGATAGGGGTACATACCAAAAAAATAAATTTATTTTTTTAATCCTCACCAGAGGATATTTTCACATGTATCTTCAGACAGAGTGGGAGGGAGGGAGGGAGAGAGAGAGAGAGAAACATCGATGTGAGAGAGACATATCGACTGCTTGCTACCCTCACAACCTCAACCGGGGCCAGGGACAAACTGCAACCAAGGTACGTGCCCTTGCCTGGAATCAAACCTGGGACTCTCTGGTCTATGGGCCAACGCTCTAACCACTTAGCGACCCGGCCAGGGCACCAGTTAAAAATGTTAAAGTGCGATGTCTCGGACACAGTCTCGTATTCTGAGTAGGCTTCCTCGAGATCTGAGCTTGGTCATTAACATTGCAGAAAAGTTAGCCATTGATGAGCAGCTAAACTCGAACCAGCGGATGCATTACTTTCTGAATAATTTGTATTTTTAAATTATTGACTCAAAATAAGTTATGGCTTCCAGAAGACCCGATGTTTTTCACAAGACAGAACAGTCCGGAATGTTGACAGGCTGATTGATTTATTCTCCAGCTGTGTGCTCTCTGCCACTTGTTCTCCTTGAGTCCTTCAGCATATTTTTGAGCCTTAAAACCAAACAAACATATTGTTCTTTTTGCCAGTATGACTTCATTAAAATGGGGCCACTTTCTCACAGTATGCACTCGTTTTGCAGTGACGGCAGAGTTGGTTAAGCTTTGTGAGAAGCGACAGGATTTTCCGTAATTAAGTGGAAGCGATTCTGTGTGAGTGTGGCCAAGTGACCGCAGGCCAGAAACAGAGATGATGTATCTCACCGGGGTCAAACTGCCAAACTGACCTTCTATTGAGTTCATTTCTTTAAAAAAAATGAGAGCTTTAATATGAAGGATACATTAAACAGCTTGTTATGCCCTTTCGATAAAAGGTACAATGTATTCTGGTGTTGAAGACAGGCCAAGATTCCAGTTTAATCAAACGGTGTTGGGTGGCAGACCCTATTATTAGAAGTGAATAGTCTTCGAAAGAAAAGGTTTGTGGAGATTTCATAACTCCACTACTACAAATTCTCAAGTTGAGCATATGTGCCTTTTCTATTCTTTCCTTTTCTTTCTTCTTTTCTTTTCTTTTCTTTTCTTTTCTTTTCTTTTCTTTTCTTTTCTTTTCTTTTCTTCTCTCTCTCTCTCTCTCTCTCTCTCTCTCTCTCTCTCTCTCTCCAACATCATATTGAATATAATACTTAGAAATACCTGCTGCTGTTTGGCTTATCAGGAAATAATAATGTTTGAAAATGTTGAGCTCCCCCATGTTCTTTAAGAAGTTGGTATTTCAGCAGTTAACTGTGCAAGGATAGTGCTCACTCAATAATGTGATGATCCTGTGGGAAATTTTATTTTCAAGTTGTGCCTTGTAAGATATTGGAAATTTAACTCTCTTGAAACACTAACTTGGTGTCAGATAAAATATATTCTTCTTCTCTGAATGTCAGGATGAGCCCTGGATTACACTCTCATAATAAGCAAATCAAACTGCCAAAGCCCTGGGGAAGATTTTTACAGAAGCATAAATAATTTGTAGAAAATATTATCTGTTTCATTAGGATGATTGATATATATAGATGTATTATGGATATAAATATAACCATGTATATAAATATACACACATACATATTGAATAGTATGGACTAAAGATTGATAGAGATGAAAATATTTTCTTGGAGAAATAGCGCTTGAAAGACTAATATAGGCATCAGAAAGGGATAAATATAATCAGAACTATGAGTTCACCAATGCCTCAACCCAAATTCCATGGTTTCCAGACAAAATTCAATTCATCAACCACGAGTCACTAACAACTGAAACAAGCCAGAATCAGAAAGCCATTGGCCTCTCCCAGCCTGTAAAGAAAGGGGGAAGGTAGAAAAGCAACTTTTCCTAGTGTTGGCATCTCATTGTCCACTGCACGTCACCAATGTGTGCGCGTCTCACTCGGAAGATCATCAGCAGAATATGTCGTAATTCTAATATGTACGTTTAAAGATGTCCACAGCTCTGTCTCTGGGCCATGTCTCACACTTCACAGTGTCTTATGATAACCCGTCTCTGGGGCTGGCTCGCTCCCCTTTAGGCTGCCCTCTGGTCTAGGACAAAGGGAGGCCATCGATGACTAAGGCAGGTGTTTAACAATGACTTTGTCTCCACCCTCTCGCCCTCTGCTCCAGTTGGTAAACAAAGTCCCTTTATCTTGTCTCTTCTCTCTACTGAACCTGAACCAAAGTGCTCAGTGTGCAAATTCAGAGAGTTTTTGTACTGGGCAGGAATGTTTCAAGGCTTGGTGAATTTCGAGGGCCTCCTTCTGGTACACTTGGGCTGCGATAGTGCATCCCTCACAGAACCTTTTTGTTTTTACTTATGTAGCTCACTGGGGTATTGAACTGAGTCCTCTGTGGCTGAGTGTTACCTTGGCTGCATATTTTCCTTCAACTGTGTTTGACCACAGAGCTGTATTCTTAGGACTGTCATAAGAGACCAGCATTCTGTGGAATGCGATTATGGGAAAGCTACTGCGGAGTGATTCCTCCACAGATTATTTCTAGATGTTTTATAATCTCTGTCTCTGAATCTGCCTTTCTTCTGACTGTCCCAAGGCTCCCTTGCATTTTGGCATATTATTTCTTCAAACCTCAGAGGGAAAAATATCCTCTCCAACTGTGCTTTCAAATCTGCTCTAAAATAGGTTCTGATTGAGAACGGTGATATTCTTGACTTGATAATTTTCTACAATGAAGAACTTTTCTGTGATTTCTGTGTGCTATGATCCTTAAAGCAAACCTCTATTTTGGAAAGAGAGAATGTTTCCTGCCCTTTGCTTCGCTGATAATTGGCGGTAATGCATTTTGCAAACACAGTTAAATTGAGGCATTATAGTAATGATGTTTATGACCAGAGGGATTGGATTTAAAAAGTAACCAAAAGCTTATGACTTGCAAGTTACAGAAATGATCATGGTGTGTGTAAGTTTCTTCGCTCCTAATGGCAGGCTTGTTAAAACTCTTCTCAGATCAAAAGAGACCATAGAAAAACATATTTGAGTAGAAATACTAATTTTTGTGTCCCTCTGTGATCTCCTGCATCTATTCTGCACATCTGTCCACTCAAACAACCTCCCCCTAACAATAACAAAATCATCACAGCACTGGATCAGTTGTGACATAAAAATTAGAGTCCTCATTCCCCTCTCTGCGTTCTTCATCCATGTCCTCACATCCACGCTTCCTGTCGACTACGTTTAAAAAGCCATATTAGCGCTATGCCCCAGGGGATGTTAAAGCATTTACCTTTTCTGGAACCACACTTTTGCCGTCCCAGGCATATCCTCTCTTGGTGAAATAGTTCACGGTGGCGAACTCGATCAGAGCGGAGAAGACGAAAGCATAGCACACGGCGATGAACCAGTCCATGGCGGTGGCGTAGGCCACCTTGGGGAGGGAGTTCCTAGCACTGATGCTCAGCGTGGTCATGGTGAGCACAGTTGTCACTCCTGCAAAGAAAGACGTTCAGTGGATCTGCCGATTCCTACTGCAAAATGTCATCACTGGAGGTCAGCCCCCTGGTACAAAGGGAGACCGGCCAGAGCACCTGTTCTCTTGTTCATCCCACTTTGGTTTGGAATGGATGAATTTTGATTTTATCCCACTGAGGTTTGCGGTGGATGGTGTGGGAGTGTTGAAGGGGCTGCTAACAGGGATAAACTACTTTGCTCTGAGGAGCTATTATTAAAATAGTGGACTTCTTTAAATGGGCATCTTGAACATGCTCCCTCGTTAGGGAAGGAAATTGTATTCTCTCACTGTCCCAGCTCTTTGAAATAGAAAGCATAGATCTTCACTGTCTCCGATCCACAAGAAATCCCGGGATCCTCAGCTCTGTTTTGTTCTACCTGTGTGCCCCAAATGTATAAACCAAGAAACAAATAGTTTATTGATGATGGATAATCAATATATAATTGAATTATCTTAGGATAATACTTTGTTACATTATCCTAAGATATTCTGCTTTTATACTTTTTTTTTTTTTAACTGATTCTGAAGTAGCCACTCTTCGGAAGAAATTCCTGAAATAAGTTGCATGTAACTTGCTTGAGGTTACACAGCTCAGAAAGGGCAAAACCAAAATCTGAACACATTTTGTGATTTCAGTGTCCACAGTTTCCTTTTCTGTTAATTCTGCCTCAAAGCCATTTTTAAGTCAGTTGTTTGTAGTTGAATTATATAATTATATGAGTTGGTATATAAATAATGATGTCCTTTAATGCTCAGCCTAGTATTATCAGCCTGCTAAATGTAATGCACTGTATAGTTAGACTATTGTAAGGTTCCTTATGAGCCATTTGAAAATGTGTTAAAAATTTCACAATCATCCAGGAAGGATGGGTCAGGCTGCATGATATGGAAAAAATCCTGCCCTGATCCAGTGACCACTCTCAACCTCTCCACTTATTAGCTCTGTGACCCAAGTAAATGGATTAGCTTCTAGGGACCTCAGTCTTCATATTTGTAAAAGTGTAATTTAGACTTTATTCTCTTGACTGTGTCATTGTTGAAGTTCTAAGAGACAAAAACTTCTGCATAGTCATTCACAAGATTATTTGAGGATAAAATGTAATCATATGTAAAAGCATTTTAAAGATATAAATAAATTATTGCCATAGACGATACTGTCTTCCAATGGGTTTAAAATGAATATCTATGATTCCCCCTTTAGATGAATTTTTAGAGAATTAGTAGGATTATAGAGATGGCAGGTGGCTAATTTTTATAAACTACTTTAAACCATCCAATATTCCCTATTGTTTCATGAATTTCAAGGTGGATGATCTCTGTAACTGCATTAGAAGGTGATAGGATTAACAAGGAACACTGAGACCTTCATTAAATCATGATTATTACTTGGAACTTTGAAGGTGTTACAGAAAGTTCTGGTGCATTACCTACATTACTTAACCAACAAATGGTTTAAAGAATATTGGCTGGAAAACAGCCCCCAAATGTACATACCAATGTTCACTTGAGCAAAAAGCAAGGTAAATCAATGTCAGTGTTTGGGAAACAGAGTGACCCAGTTCTAAATCACAGGTCTGTAATTGCTGAGTGACCTTCGGAAAATTGCCACACAATTCTGAGCTATTGCTTCTTTTTTTTAAAAAAATGATTATTTCCTTGAATATTAATTTCAATAAGTCTAACTCAGAGGGGTGTTGTGAGTATTAAATACATTAAGTAGTGAAGTGTTTAGCACTTAGCCTGATATTTACTGAGGGCAAAATTAATAACTGTTATTATTGATAACTACAGTCCTTTTAAATAAATTCCTGCTACAATGAATTGCATTTTTTTATTTTTTCAAATTTTGGTTTATGTAAGTAGCTGTCAAAAGTGCCTTGGGAATAGGTGTTCTTAAATCAGATGCATGCATAAACAAAAAGCAGTTAGGAATAGCATGCAGAGGGTATGTGTGAATGTGTGTGTGTGTGTGTGTGCACGCATGCACAGCAGTGCGGTCTTACAAGTCCCGCTATAGGGAAAGGGAAAGGAACAAAATTGTGTTGAGCATCTATTAAGTTCCAAATACTAGGTCTGAAAATTTACATATTTTATTATCACCTAATCTTTTAAACAGCACACTTTTACTTTAATTCTACTTGCATTTTATAGGCAGCTAAAGCTTAGAAAAATGAAAATTGAACCTAAAGGTTGGATCTGTCTGGCAGCAAATCCCATGACCACATTGCCCCCCATGTGAACATGGAAAGTCAAGAATTTGATATTTGAAGGTATAAAACAGGCTGCAGCTTTGTTGCAGTCTGGATGCCTGTAGTCAACAAAGTACAACTTTTTTTATTTTTGTAGTTTTTAAGTAACCATGACCCTCTCAGGCATCTCACACAGCTCAGAGAAATGTGCTGAGTTCAGACAAAAAAAAAAGAATAGAAACACATGTACTAAATAAATGTTAAAAGGCTAAAGGTTTTGGAAAATTGTATTGGCAGTTTCATTGAGCTTAAAACATTAGACATATATAACTGGAGAGACAGAAATACTTGCCACAGCTGAGTTTACAGATAGGTAGTTATGTTCACAAAAAGGTCATGAGTTGTCTGATTGTTGAAAATGTTAAAAGCGAGACTTTTGGTTTATAATACAGTCCAAAATGCTTTAGAACGTTTCCAAAATGGAAGGATCAGCTATGTTGGGGTGAGGGTGGGGCAAGTGAGCATTTATAAAAAAAAACAAAAAAACATCTTCTCTATAGTGCTGGGTTCATTCTACACAAAACATAATGTAAATATCTTCTGTGTTCTATTATTTTTTAACTTCTAGTGAAAAAAGGGGTCCAAAGTACATATGCACACAAGTGAGCATCTTGACAAGAGTTTAATCTTCAGTTCTACAAAGTGGCCTCAACTAGTTAACACTGACAAATGGTGATGAGGAGAAACTAGTCTGAAGTGACCTTCTCTCTTGCTCTGTAGCCAACTCATCCTGGATCTTAATTTACTTGAGTTCTTAGGTTACTGTCAGAGCAAAGATTTGGTGGTTCCCAGACTGGAAGCACCTTGCTGTCTTCAGAAGGAAATAATCTTTTCTGGACTTGGAGCAGAGTCTTGCTTTTTTCTGAGATAACTGATGTTTTATACCTTGTACGTTACTGAAGAATGATGCTGTGGGGACCTTTGCACATGAATAATCTTTAATTTATATTTTATATACATTAATATTTTATATTTTTATAAAATATAATTTATATTTATATAAATTACATAAATTTACATTTTAAGCTTCTTAAAGCCTTTATTCTGTAGTAAAGGGTCTTAAATATAGCATTATGCCTAGCTGATATTTTTGGAATGGACCTTGGTAATTGCACGTTTCACCAAGGAAGATACGGGTTATTTACAAATGAATGATGTTGTCCACAAGAACCCCATTCCATGACTGCATATTGGTGGTGGTAGAGCATGTCATTAAGGGCACAGACTCTGGACCTGAGTGTTTGAGTCTCGCTCCTCAGTCCTTCACCTAGTAGCTTCTGACCTTACTTACTCTCTTGTTCCTTAGCTTTCTTGTCTATAACACAAGGATAATAATAGTATGCAGGCTTTTCCCCCTCCATGTTAAATAAGGTAGTGTAGGTTTATTTTATAGAACAAAGCCTGATATAAAAGCACTCAGTAAATAATATGTATGATTTTATTGTTATTCAAATTTTAAGCTCCAGATTATAACCTTCATGAGGGGAGTCATTATGTTACGGTTACTGCTGCTTTCTGTGCCTCATTCATAGTAGGCTTCAAATAAAAATTCACCGAGTGAAGGAATGAATCAAAAGTTTATGGTAATGGGATCTTTTGTTTACATCTGTCTGAAAAGTACAATTAAGATATTATACTACAATACAAGCAGGAAATACCTCTTTATGTGAAGTACACATTTCTAAAATAATAAATTCGGGAATGACATTTCCTATTACTTAAAGGTTGTTACCCTTGAAGCAGTTTTCCATTACAGTGCCTTAACTCGAAGCATTTGGGGCATTTAAACCATTTTAATAGAAAAATATGTATATTTGTGCCCTGGCCGGTTTGGCTCAGCGGTTAGAGCGTCGGCCTGCGGTACAGAGAGACCCGGGTTCGGTTCCTGCTAAGGGCATGTACCTCGATTGCAGTTTGTCCCCGGCCCTGGTTGGTCGTGCGGGTGGCGGCCACTCAATGTGTCCCTTCACATCGATGTTTCTCTCTCTCTCTCTCTCTCTCTCTCTCCCTCCCACTCTATCTGAACAAAGGGTGGAGAAATGTCCTCAGGTGAGGATAATATATATATATATATACACGTATATTTGTAACTCTTCAGAAGTGTACACATTAGATACGTGACGTACTCCTGTACTATCATATGATGTGGCCATCAGTGATCTCTCCCTACATAAGAAAACCCTGCTTTCATACATGTAAGGAAATAGTTCTGCTGTTTTCTCAGATTCTCAAAAATATACAAATATATGATTATGTATTCTGAAGTATGATTTAAATATTAATGTTTCTGTGTGTGTGTTAATCCAGCATGATGTATTTTATGCTTACTTCATTCCATTTCTCTCCCCAAATGTCAAATCAAATGTTCATTAATCCCATCCATTTGCAGGCACTGAAGCAGCTTGCTATTTAGAGAAGTAATTTTTTAAAATCATACCATGATAAGAATGGGAATTTCTTGCATCTTTCTATGGTACTAACTTCATATTTTAATGTATACTTATTTTCTCATTCTATTTGCAGTATCACCCATATAACTCGCATGCATATCGTGACTGACACTTACCGAAGACAGTCCTTGCTGGTACGGACTCTCTGTTGAGCCAGAAGGAGACTTGAGACAGAATGACGGTCATTATGCAAGGCAGGTATGTTTGAATAACAAAATAGCCAATCTTTCTTTTCAGGTGGAAGTGAGTAGTCATAACCACATATTCTCCTAGAGGGTGAAACAGAGAGTAACACTGAACAATTTGACCTTGAAAAAAAAGTTAATCTCAGGTTTTCTGTCAGCAGAAAAGACCTGGAGGTTAGACACATCCTTTTCCCATGTGATACCTGGCTCCAGAGAGAAAAACTTTTCTCCAAGAAAGAAAGAAAAAAAGACAAAAACACACTCAAATGGCTCTGAGAATGAGCATGACGTGCAAAGATACAAAGGTGAGTCTTGCATCCTAATCCCGGTGCCTCATACATTTACAAATGTAGCTCAAACGCCCTCTTTCCGGAGCTCCCTTGCTTTGGGTGTCATTTCGCTTAGCCTGAACTTCAAAGTGAAAAGAGAGGGATGGAATCTAGTGTTTCTCAAAATACATTTTGAATTCACCCGGGAAGGTTTTGAGACACACCTTTCTTCAGATACCACCTGGACACACAAACTATTCTCCGAGATGGGCCAGCTTCTGAGCTGGTCTGGGAAACAGTGTACTAGCAAGGCGCTCCAGGATTTTCATATGCCCCCAAGTCTGATCTCGTGTGGGGGGCAAAGCAATAGACACACAGCCCACGCTGCAGGAGGGATGTTTAGAAATCGATATTATGTGTGTGTTTTTCCATGACAAATGTTAGACGGTTTTAGCTTTATTCACTCTAAATATATGCTTCGTTTTCGGTAAGTGGGTAGGAGAGAAATAGGTATATTCTCGCTAAGAAAACATCACTCACATTTCTCTACCTTCCTCCTTCCCTTCAACTCGAAACGTTTTCCTTCTCAATCTGGGACTACGTCTCCAAACGTGGCCAACCAGCTTCAGGCCCTGTATAACGTGGCTGCAAAGGGTCTTGGCTTCTTAATATCCGTAACTGAAGCCCTCCGGCTTGAAGATCTCAGTGGTCCAGCTGGCTGCTCTCCTCCTTCGCATCACTAAGAATTAAACAATGCTGACTGCCCCACCATCTCGAGAGCACACTCTCGATTCACAGTCTCTCTTTCTCTCTCGTTTCTAGTTTATTTTGATAACTCATAGATTATTTCAATCTGAGAGTGTGTATTGAGTTTTTTCTCGGAGGCATCGATCTTCAACTTTCTGCAAAGGTAGCGTAGCACTTCCACTTCCTTTCCCAGTTTTTACTCGAATAGAAATTCGCCTTCTCACCTGTCCTGCTGGTGCCATTTCAATGCAGACGGGTGCAGAGGCTTCCTCTCTACGTGACATTGCTCTCGGAGTCACAACCTGCCTTTCCAGATGCTGACATCTACCTCATAGACCCTGCTTTCACGACCACCACCCACTCAGTGGCTCTGGCCTGGGTCTGTCCACTCAGGCTAACAACCTGGAACTAACCCTCGAATGGGAAGGAGGACTTGGAAAGAGAGAGCAAAGAATCAGTTGATCACCACAGTGTTCATTTCACCAGGGCAGTATCTCTTAGTCTGACTCCTAGCTTGTGGTCACTGCTCTCATCTCCTTTGTAGATTCTTCTAACAATCTACTAACTGTCCCATTTGTCTCCAGTCCCTCCTAACTCCACCCCCCCCCGCTAAATTTTAATATCAGAGTGATCTTCCCAAAGCATATATAAATACCTTAACAGATTTCCATTATTTACATCAGAATTTCCCAACCTCAGCACTACTGACCTTTCACACCAGATCATTGTTTATTGTGGGGGCTGTCGTGTGTATTGTAGGATACTCAGACATACACCTGCTGGCCTCTCTCCATCAGCAGAACTCTCCCTAATGTGACAATCAACAATGTCTCCAGTGTTAGATACTAACAAGCCAACTCCCTTAACTTGTATTCAGGACTTCCCACCCACATCATGACACGATACATTTCAGTAACATGTCTCATGTCTCACCACACATTCTCACATCTCGGGATCCTGACCTACAACAAAACTGTCTACCTGACATCTTCTGTCGGTGAATATTTTATTCATCTATGCATTCTCAGTCCGTGGTGGAACAGGAGGAAATGTACTGTAGAGGAGAGTTCATTAGCTTTGGAAGCAAATTAATTTGTTCTCAAAAGGCAGATCTATTATTTTCTTACTGTGTGGCCTGGGACAACTCACTCAAATTCTCAGGTCCCTGGATTCCTCAGCTATAAAAAGTGAGAAATATATTGTGGGGAGAGTAACAAATAAGGGCTAAAGGTCATACTACATAAGAGTTTTACAGAAGAAAAGGAAAAAAAAAAAAAAAGAGTTTCCAAATAAATTTTAGTTCCTCTTTCCATTTTTCCTTTCTTCTCTCTAGTTTGGTAGAACTATTGGTAGAAGAAATGTACTTACTCTCTATAAGAGGAAATCACCCACAGCTCATGTATGCTTTCATTATTGTCATTGATGTTAGCATCTGCCATTTACCAATCAATACTGGTAACTGCAAATTTATTTGTAGCTCCTTTTTCCATTTATAATAGTATCTCACACTTCTAATTGTATCTATTTATATGCTTATATCAGCAGCAAACTGAAAGCTTACTGACAAGAGGGGCTGTTCTTTGGGTATAGCGTGGCCTTACATATTCTAAGTATTTAATACTTGCCTGTGGTGACAGGGACGGACTGAGGCTTAAGGGCACTCGCTCAAATTGACATCTATAACCATCTCTTCTTTGAAGGGTCAATAAAATGTTAACTGTGGTTGATCATTGAGCAAAATGGGTTTGAGCTGAGCAGGTCCATTGATATGTGTATACTTTTCAGTAAATACTGTTGTTTTTCTCCCTTGTCGTTCTCTTAATAGCATTTTCTTCTCTCTAGCTTACTTTATTGTAAGAACACAGTATGTAATATATATATATAACATGGTAAATATGTGTTCACTAATTGTTTATGTTACCAGCAAGACCTCCAGTCAACAGTACAGTATCAGTGATTAAGTTTTGGGGGAGTCAAAGTTACATGTGGATTTTCAACTGAGTGCTGGGTCCATGCCCCAACCCCTGGGTGGGTCAAAGATCAACTGTAATTTCTTTTGATTTTCTATAGATACCTTGGGTGACGTCACTAAGGTCATCTGAAAGAAGTGTTTCAAATTTGAGAAAAATGCAGAAAATTAATTTTCTCAGGACTCTGCTAAAATGTAGCCTTGTGTGGACATAGTCATGTCACACTTCATCTTCTCAGGAGTGTGTGTTACTATTCCTAACCACTCAGTCAGTTGGGGTCTGTAAAATGTCATCAGCTCAAAGGAAAAAATGTCTTTCACATAATGTCAGAAAGATGAGTGTCCATAGATATTTCATATATTTCATTGTTACCTTTTGTTATTCACAATGTGATACTTTGGGAAGATTCTTCAAAGAATATGATTTCGGTGGTCTAAAGAGCAGTTATTTGACATTATATTTGTTTTATAAACCACTTCCTTACAAAAAAAAATACAACAGAATTTCAAATCTTTTAAAATCATCTTCCTGTTAAACAAGATCTAAATTTTGGCACAAAATGTTTGAATAAGGAAAGAAAAAGGCAGCAAAATCAGAATCGTGTTGTAATGATTTAAAAACGAAGGAAAAACATAACCAAAAAAAAAAAATCAGTCTCTCAAATTGGATTAAATAATGTGTCTAGACATCAAGTGCTTAGGCACTAAGCATGTCAAATTCTTTTCCTCTGATTCAACAGTCTGGAAGAATTGTAATTCAGATATCCTTGCACATCATGTAACCCTCAGGGAAGCTTGTACATTAGATAGCACAATATTTCTGATGCATTACGGTGCAAAATCAAGGCGAACAGAAGAAACGCAGCAGGGATTTTGTGAGGCAGAATCGAGCATTTGTTTAGACCTGGCTTCCGTTCTGTTCTTTCTCAAACATTAGTTACTTGAAGGGTAAATCCTTGCTAAACCTCTTTGACTTAACTTTTTTTCATTTGTTCAATTAAAATGATAGTGTTTCACTTCATTATTCCTGGGATGCCATGAGGCTAAGGTAAAATGATAGAAGTGAGAGTACTTTTTAAATACTGGGAGGCACCTGTAGATTTACAGTGCGGAGATAGAAAGATTAGAAATGTATTCTCTTCAGCTCAAGAGATAAACCATTCTCCTCTTCAACAAATTGTAGCAGGCAGCAGTTCCATGTGCAACTATCATTTCTCTTCCCAGTACTCGAAAGTTGGTATTTTCTGTAAATGCTACCTTTTTTGGAGAAGTGAGGTATCAAAAATATTGATGGAGGGGTTGGTATTTTAATATCTGCCTCAAAGTGTACTGAAATAGAAATAAGGAAACAGTGGAAATAGTTTCAAGTCACTTAGCCTCTTGGGACCTATCTTCTCATATGAAATATGAATAAGCTGACCAGATAACTATAGAAGTCTCCTCTCCTCGGCCCTAGTTTTCAAATGTTGTGGTTATAATTATTTCTCTGGGTATCATGTACTAGGCTGTGTGAGTGTGACCTGGAGGTTCCTTTGATGAATGTTCATCACCCTTGTTGCTCCCCAGTCGAGGAAGACAGTTCAATCCCTCATTCATTTCAAGTGTGTAGGGGCATCCTTAAATCATCTCATCCAGGGGAAACTGTCTCTTGGAAAGAGGATCCATAATTTCTCTTGGCCATCTGTTCTAAGGATAAACAGTAGTCATTCATAAAGAAAAGACATCTCTGTTCAGTAAAACTAACCTATGTTTCCTTTGATCAAATCTGTTGATGTAGGTAAATATGAAGGCTTTTCCATCATTGTGTGTTTTAAAAACATCACTTATTATTTCATTCGTATTCTCTTCCGGCCATGCTATTATGTCTAATGGCAATTTACTTATTTTGCTTCTCTGTGTAAGTCATATTTTCAAGTTATTTAGTCGCTTCCATAATTTTTGCATGGACTGTCCTTAAAGAATTACTTAGGAAGCATGAAGTGGTAGAGCAGAATGGGATGGGGCGTGCCTGGCGTCTGTTCCAAGCTGCCTTCCCAATACATCAGGCAGAAATGGCCTCTTCTTTTTTTTTTTTAATCCTCATCTGAGGACATTTTTTCATTTTTTGTTCAGATAGAGTGGGAGGGAGAGAGAAAGAGAAACATCGATGTGAAAGGGACACATCGAGTGGCTGCCACCCGCACAACCCAACCAGGGCCGGGGACAAACTGCAACCGAGGCACGTGCCCTTGGCGGGAACCGAACCCGCGTCTCTGGATGCTCTAACCGCTGAGCCAAACCAGCCAGGGAGGGCCTCTTCTTCTTTATGTTGCCACGTAGCTCTTTGTACTAACTCCTTCATTAGTAATTAATATTCATTATATAACTTTTACATGCCAGACACTCTGCTAATCAGTGCATGCATTTTTTTTTTTTTTTTTTTTCCCATTTCAATCTCACGGTAGCTTCTGAAGAGCATTCTCTTATTATCTCTAAGTAGAGAATTGTTCTGGATTTGAAAGCCGTCTGTGTGCCTCTGAAGGTTCGGCTCTGCCAGTCGAACACGTGCATTTCACACTGCGTCTGCAATTCATTTTCTTCCCCCAAACCCGACGGCAGACTCCAAGGAAGGGTCGTGCCCCTGATGTGTTTTTGCCAAATTAAAGAATCCAAGTAGTGGATTCAGCCTCATATATTTTGCTCCTGTGTCGTAGAATGGGGTATTTTGATCTGCAGGAGGTCACTGGTGAGTGTGTGGGAGCGGGTGTCCACATGAGTGTTGGTCGCAAGCAAGTGGAACCACGCCTTCTCGCCTTCTCAGAGGCACGCTGAATTGATTCTCTCCCCGCAGAGATTTTGAGGTGGAAGAAGATACCGTTTATTCAATCATTCTCAATGCATGTTCTTTCTGCCATCATTCCTAGTCTTCTGACAGAAACGGGGAGGTAATAACACCGAATGTCATTTATCTGGATGTTTTCAGGGCTCCACCAGGAGCTGTGAAATATGGGCTTGCAGACCTTGCAGAAGATCTTCATTTCTTCCCACGGAAATCCATCACGTTGGACTTCTGATGAGCGAAAGTAGACCCACAGGAAGTGTAGTTGAGTGTCGTGTTGTGGAGCTGAACATGTGCTTCATATTGGGCTCCCACACTTGAGAATTTGATCATTATCCACCACCACCCCCGCCCCAGTCATCATTATGGGATTGACAAGAAAAAGCTCTAATTCTGTACAGATAAACTTGCCGGCTCTAGCGCGGAATAACGACTTTTAATGAACCCTGTTTATGAGGTCCAGCCCGCGGCCTCTTACCCATTACCGTATTGTGACTGTGCATCACTTCTGAGTAACTAGAATGTGGGTAGACGGAATCCTTAGGAGGCCAGAGGTGAAGGAGGTCTCCAGGTTCATCAGACCAAGCCACTCACTTTGCAGACAGGAGAATGGGGGCATAGAGCAGGGATACAGGGGCACGTCAATGTCACTCGTGCTGGAACTAGAATGAAGCACTCCTGGGTAACGTCTGTGGTGTGTATAGACGTGCATTGCATGTGTGCTACTGCACTGGGATTGCTGTTTCCCTGACACCTCCGACCTCCGTTCCCATGAAATAGATGGGGAATTTCTTGAGGAAAAGTTCTATGTCTGTTGTTCTTAATGCCCCAGTCTAGAAGAATGATTATTTGGTTCCCAACGAACACAGATTAAGAAAACGAAGGTCAAATCCTGCAGTAATCCTTCTGTGATTATTCTACCCTGGATTCATTTGTTTTTATTTATTTAGTACCTCTTTTGTTTCAGCTACTATGGTAAACAATAGGGATGCAAAGGAGAGAGGTGGTCCCTGCCCTCACAGATGTTCATCATAGCACTCTCCACCTACTGCGATAGTTACGGTTTGTGTTTGTCTTCCCTGAGACTTCAAGAGAGCAAGATCTCTGCCTAGTGCCTGCCGCGATCCAGACTATAATAGCATTCAGGTTTTACAAAGTCAGCGTCCCGCCAGTGTGGCTCAGTGGTTGAGCGTCGACCCAGGCACCAAGAGGTCGCCAGTTCGATTTCGGGTCAGGACCCATGCCCAGGTTGTGGGCCTGATCCCCAGTGGGGGACATGCAGGAGGCGGCCAATCAACGTTCTCTCTCATCGATGTTTCTTTCTCTCTCTCCCTCTTATTTCCTCTCTCTGTAAAATCAATAAAGGGAAAAAAATTTTTTTTTAAAGTCAACACTGCTCCTTTAATATCTTTTCCAACATAACTTGTGAGGAGAAATAATTTTTCAGTATTTTCTACATTCTGTGATATTTTCAGGACTATGGCAATAAGTATTGCACACCATTCATTATATAACATTGTGATAAATATTTTATATTATCTGATCTTTAATTCAACATTATAGAATCCCCATTCTGAGGAGAGACCAGGGTTTCTAGTTGGATAAATGGCTTTCACAAAGTCACAGGCTTCTTCTAATGGACAGGACCAGGAATCTAGTCCACATCTTTCTCGGTGCGATGCCTAAGACCTCTGCACTCTTCCACAGCATTTTAGAAACTGTATTAAATATTTTTACATTACTTCTACATGCATTTATAATGTTTGCAAAGCTGAGAAACAATCTTCTCCATTTTTCAAAACAATCAACGAAAATATTTGAGCTTCTAGGGTAGCAATGGATACTTTAAGCAAAACACAGATTCTATTAAGCAGAGATTATCCTATAATTGCAGTAAGAGAGGTTGACCTATTACTTAAACATGTTAGAATGATCAGGGCCCCATCATAAAGTCAGAAATCTAAGAAAGAAAGTTTGCGGAGGAAAAATATACTCCTGCCCTAATTTATTACCAAATTGTCTTTCTTTAGAAGTTACAAATAAAAATGAAGGAACTAATTTAAAAATTAAAAAAAACAAAAACAAAAAAACCAGCCATGTAAGTAATTGTTGAGTGTTGCTAAGCTTTCAGTAATTGAACACAGTTAAAAATACTGGGACTGTAGGGGGGTAAGTTTTCCTAATTGTTAGAACCCAAATTATATTTATAATTATCTGGCCCTATGATCACTCACATTTAAGTTAGTCACAAAGTAGATACTTGCATAATTAAATTCTTAGCTTATTCTTTCTTTCTTTCTTTTTTTTTAATCTTGAAACAACTTCAAAAGTTTAAAATTTGAGATCCAGCCGCTTACTGTTACTTGCTCTAGCCTTGAGTGTTTCATTGGTAAGGTAGTTATAACTCTAGGAAGGATGGCACTCCAGTCACTTTCATTTCTAAAGTGGAGTGATCAGCAGTGTGATGATGTTTGCACAGGGTTTAGTTGAGGAAGATTCTTGGCTAGAGATATACATGGATTTGTAGAAGGCTTTGGCGTTTTGGTGTCCTGTGATCACTGCTAGAAATTCACCAAGTTTCATGTAATCATGGCAATAAATGGGGCCTACATAATATTAGTAACTAACATTTATTAAGAGTTTTTAAAATTTACTTGTTTTTAGAGAGAGAGATTGACTTGTTGTTCCACTTCATTATGCATTTTTTGGTTACTGCTTGTATGTGCCCTGACTGGGGTCTGAGCCCCCAACCTTGGCATATCGGGTCAATGCTCCAGCCAACTAAACTACTGGACCAGAGCCTAGTAAGAGCTTCTTTTGTGTCAGGAACTGTGATAAGTGTTTTTCATGGATGTAATTTTTTCCTGCCGGCAGCCCTGTGAGGTGATCACGAATGATCGGCGAGGTAGAGGAGTAGAATTTAACTCAGGCCGTCTTTCTCCAGTGTTCACATCCCTAATACCATGCCAGGCTGATCACATGGAATAGAATCCGACAAAAAAAACAACAACACAGGACAAAGGGCACTCAGTGGCACGTCCAAGGTCACAGGTCTGTAGAGATCACCCTCGTTGTCAGCTCAACTATACCTCAGTTGAGTGCAATCTTTCCCCTTTCCTTGTGCTTTTGAGGGACTTACTGAACTGTCACATTCTCAGGAAAAGTCTTTCTGCTCCCTCCTCCATATCTGGGGTGACCAAACAACATTTACCTGTGCTGGACTGAACGATTCCAGAGTCTACCGTTTGTCCAAGAAGATCGTACTGGTTGAGGCGCGACCCGTCTTCCGCTACCACCACTGAGCGTGCAGGCTCCCTGGTCCACTCGTAAACAACTTCTGCTCTCGTGTACGCATCTAGAAGGAGAGGACGGAAAATGCTCCGTGTATCGTGCCACTTTGCTTCCAATGAGATGGTGTGTTCTGTCGGCCTCCTATATTCTAGCTCAGGGTTCCAGGGGCAGGCGAGGGAAGAGGGCCCGTGTCCCTCAGTTTAGGTACACTAAAACACATTTTCCCGATTCATTCAGTTGTCTGTTCAGTCTTACAACAAATGGTTATTAAGCATCTACAGAAGACAAGGTGCTTTTCTGAGGCTACCGTAGTGAACATTAACAAGGTTCCCTATCTTACGGAACATGCATTGCAGCTTGGGGGCAACGCCAGGTAAGCTAATCAACATACGCTTTCCATTAGTGGTAGATGCAGTAAAGCCGCACACAGCAGGTAAGGGGATAGCAAATGGAGAGGGTGGGGCTGTTTTAGGTAAGGAACTCAGGGTCCCGGAAGAAGTGACATTTATGTGAATGCATGAGAGAAATGAGAATGAACCCTCTAAGTCTTGGGGAAGAGTTCTTTGGATAGGCATAGTAATAAGTTTCTTCCTCTGGGGCAGGTAAAAGGTCGACATGTCTGAAGACTGACAGGAAGACCAGTGTGAAATGCATGAAAGATAAAATGAGGTCAGAGGCAGTAGCCTGGGTGCAGATGATGTTTGTCTAGGCGAAGGTCATAGTAAATGTGAAAGATAACACTGGACATTGTATTGAGCATCTATTTTGTTGTTGTCGTTTTTAAGTGAAATTGGATTTTACTTTCTTTTAAGTTCATTATCCTTTTTATAGATATTTACTGTCATGATGATGATGATGATGATGATGATGATGAGTTATACCATATAGCTCTTCATGCTTCTCAATCATTTTCATGTATGCCACTGGTTAACCTAGCCATCCGCCTACAGGGAGGTTGGGTCGTAATCCTGATCTGTGGTCCAGGCAGGTTGGGGAAGGAGGTGCATCAAGGGAGAGTCAAAGGGTAGGGATTCCACAGCGTTTCTGATTCCTCATCTCAGAACCCCCACTTCACATAGGTTAGGACGATGGCACGTAGTCTACTCTGTTTAGATGGAGAGTGATATTAAAATGTAAAGATTATCACATTAGGAAAAGCAAAGTGTTTCCAGGGTTTTTAAGAGGAGGACATGATAGCAAAACTCAGCCTGCCAGAGAGAGCTTTACCCTTGGCCAACCTCTGCATTAGGCCCAGTGCCCAGAACTGCAATAACTTTAGGTGGCCACGGATACGCTTCAATTTCTTTTAAAGAAAAGAAATGAATATAAATATCAATGTTTGCAATATAAGTAAATTTATATATATATCTATATATATACATACATATATATCTATGTTGATAGATATATATCTATATCTCTATATATATCTATAGATGTGTATATATATATTTTCTGGGAATGGCCCACAAAGGCAAAAGTGCCGAGGGTTCACCATAAAAGTCATAAGGCACCCCTGCTCGACTGACCCACGCCCCAAGGTAACCAAGCTTGGGTGTTTAGTCCAAATTTGCATTTGTCCAAAGTAAAATATCCTGAGATGTAAAATGAAGGTTGCATTTTTACACAAACATGAAGCTGCCTAAAATTAGATGTGAGTCATGCCCCTCATTCTCTGAACCAAAGCTCCTTAAAGTGACCCCTTGTGTCCGGAGTGAGTGATGCAGGAAAAGATAGTGTTCCCTGGATTTCCTGTGGGTACCCTGTGTGCTCCAGCATCATTTCCAGACCAATCTACAATCAGATATCATTTTAAACAAAATTTTCCAGAAGTTTGAGAGAATATATTTGGATATATATATTTGGATATATATATTTGGATATATATTTGGATATATAGTAGATATTGCTTCCTTTGTGATACATTTAAGAGGGACAGATGGATGATTTTGGAATTTATTTTCATTGCCTTTTCTTTTTAAATTGTGCTTGTCCTCATTGACTGCTTTTAATTGCACTAACCTTTAACTAGTTAATTAATTAATTTTTATGAGGCAGGTGCACTAAATAATTTCTAAAGTTATTTATTCAGAATCCACTTGACTTTCTAGTATGCCTTCTCATTCGCAAGGCACCAAGCCTGATGGTCCGTCAGGATACAGTCATTTATTAAATCCTTACTAGATCTAGCACGTCTTATTGTCGGAATAGGATCTGAACCTCTTCCTTTAGAATCAAGGCCTTATTTTATATTTTCTTCGAAAAGCAGTTAAAAGATGTCAAGTGCATCATGCACATTGACTTCGGTTTCCTGGCCTTGTGAAGAAGGCTTTGTCCCCAACCCGCAGAAAGTGTCATTTGGCAGCCAGAATCTAAGAGAGTGGAAAGGAAAACATCTGCCGTCCCTAGCTTGGTTCTTACCAACGTATGGATGAAATAACTTCAGATGCTTCATAAACATTTATTACACAGCGTTCTACTAAATTATTGAAAAGTCCTCTTGTTTATTCTCTTCTCTGATATGTTGGCAAGAAGTTTGTTTCCAACATCGGGACAGAGCACTTTTAGCCACGACTGCCTCCGTTTCTTCACCTCTGAATCATGCTAGTTGGGCCAGGACGGACAAAGGACCTTGCAGTAAATGCACCGCCTCTGCATCCTCTCGTGCCAACGGCAGGCGCTGCTCAGTAGTCACGGCGCTCGCTCCCACCGAGCACGTGCCGTCTGAGCCTGCCTTTCAGGGTCAGGTCTTGTCTGTTTAATTCCCCACAGTCTTAAACCCCTTTCCTGAGGCCATCTTCTCTGAAACTTAAACACCAAAGGGACATTGAACGCCTGATTATTGGAATCTTGATCCACCCGATGGACATTTATTGAGTCCTGCGTTGTATTAGGCTTTATGGTAGGAAATGCTGAACAAAATAGATCCTACTTCTATGGAGTTTACAGGTCTCCAAATAAGACCAATGTTAACCAAGAACTAAAACTAGTGATTCTTCCCGTGATAAATAGCATGAAGTAAATGTGTCTTGTGATAAAAAAGATTGATGCAGATGTTGATGAGCTCATCAGGGAAGGCTCTAGGAGGTGATATTGATGCTGAGATGTGGACAGATTGAAAAAAAAACAGCAATGGAAAAATAAATGCCAGCACAGGAAGGGAAGAATGGCCCAGGCAGAGAAAAGAACCACCTGCAAAGGCTCGGAGGTAGAAAACATTACCTATTGTTCTTTAACTTCACTTTTCTTCCATGAGACACTATTTGTTTGCTATTGACTAGCCATGTCCTCCTCCCTAAAATACATTCCATTTTCTTCAGAGTGACAGTGTGCCCTGTTAAAAATATTTCTTCCCGGTCTCCTTTGCAGCTACTATGGGCAATGTGATACAGCTCTGATTAACGAGACGTGAGGTGTCTGTTAGAGTTCTAGGGAGAGCTCTGCAGGCACTACTATTTTCTTCTCTACCCACTCTTCTGTTCCTCTTTATCTGGAGAGCAGATGCTGTGGCTGGAGCTGTGGCAGCCATCTTGTGATTAGAAAGAACATCCAAGGACATCTTAAGATACCATCCTTGTCAAGATGCTGAACTAATCAGCAGTCAGCCAACAATCACTTACCTTCATGCATCTTATATGAAAATTTAAACCCCACCCTTTGTCAGCTATACCCACTGCTTGAAAGTATTTCTGACTAATATACTGAACCTATATTATCCAAAACAATACATTTTGGGAAAAGGGGGCGCCATTAATAGTTATACCAGGATATTAGTTATACCAGTATAAATCAATATTGCCCCAGGCAAACTATGATGCATGATATGCCTACCTATAAGGCTAATGTGTGGGTTAGATGAGCTGATGCATGTACAAATACTTACTCTATGCCTGTCATACAACTAACACATAATATCGTTGTTAAAAATGAAACTGGTAATCAAGAGAAAACATAATAGTCCATGACACAGAACATTCATTAAAATGAGAAATGAATGGGAAGAAGGGATTTATCACTAAAGATCTATTTAGTTGATAGGTTTTGAAGCAGTATATCATTGGGCTTCAGTACAGAAGGAGATTTATAAATAGAGAAATGTGTCCCTCCATGACTAGTGCTGTTAGGAGCCTGAAAGTCCTCTGCTATTGTCTTTGCTTGCTGTCTTCCTACACTACCACTATTTTTTTTTTCTATGAGTCATATACCTTCACGGAAATAGTTGCTTGGACTGCCTGTCTAGAGTGAACAGAAAGCTGGTTAGGTCATCCAGGAGTTGACTCAATGCTTGCATGTAACTCCCCTGCAGGCGACCAGGAATACATTATTCCCACACGCTTTCTGCATGCACACCAGTTGAAAACAGAAGGGTAGAGGAAGAACGGAGAACCTGTCTCTGTTGGCCACTGTTCTCTGGGCTCCTCTATGTTGTGCCCTCATATTTAATAACAGAAACCCAGAAAATTATTATAAAATGGATTTATCTAAGAAATCTTTAAAAGCATTAATGTATACATGAATTCCCTGCTATATTAAAATGGATCTATAACATTCCTAAGACATAGATCAGGGTAAATTCTTTCCTAGCTACATCTTTTAGGTGAAAGCTTAATTATTTAAAAAATAAAACCAACCAACCAACAAACAAAAAAAACAGTTAATTATTGTCCTTTGGCAACTACTAGTATTTCTATCTGATACCCAAGCTGGTTTACTCTTAATGTCCAACAGATGTCAGTAATGATAGAAAATAAACACAATCATCTCCATTTATTGGAAAGAAAAATGTTATCTATGAGGTTCAAGCATCCATATTCCAGTCGTTTTTCTAGGAATACAACTTCAACAAAAATATATTTTTTTCTCTAAATAGTTAAATCCATTCTCTCTAGTCCAGGAGATAGGGAATAACCCCTTTCTCTAATAACATTAAAATGGGAAGTCAAAAATTCTTACTTATAAAAAGCACTTGCAGAAAATCACTATTTAAACTTTCCTGATGCTCTTTATCTGTCTAACAAACACAACTCATTGGAGATCTCTTGCTTAAAGACTTAGGCCTCTCATAAAAAAAATTAAAAAAATAAAATAAATTTACTCACAGCTTCCAAATTTTAGTGGGCAGGCATGGGCATCCATAGGGAAGTCCTCCAAATGCATTGGGCATTCAGCTCTCACTGTCAGCCTTATCATTTAAGGAAAATATAGGACACAAAGAAGAGCCCTATAGATTAGATTCTTCCTGATACATATGATTGTGATATTATTAACTGTAGCAAATATAGCAACAAAGCAGGAGAGACAGGCACAAACTGTAGCACTATATTGAGATGTTAATCATCAGATGATCTAAAAAAAATTATTTACAACCGTGGCTGGATTCTATCCATTTTGTTGTTGTTCTGAGAAAGTATGTGACACCTGATTCTCTATGATGGGTAAGCATTGCTGATGTTTTCCCAAACAGTTAGCATCAACTAATCCACCTAGCTATACAGCATATCTTTTGAGGATGAGTCTGACTGTAAGCAAATAGGTACTTGCAAAAACACTCATTTATCCTTGGTTGAGAAGAAGCCATGGATAGGAAAGAAAAGAAAAGAAGAGAATTTCTCCTTTCCTAAGTGCAGCTCTCCCTACCTCCTTCTCGAAAATAGCACCAAATGCATACAACAAAGCAGTCGGTGAAGCAGGAGCTAGGTCCTCAGGCTTTGCATCACTGAGATTAATGTAAGTGTCCTTAAGAGTGGATATGAGACCTCACAGTATCACAGCCGTTTAGTTTTGTTTACAAATCCACGGCCCGATTGCAGCCAGGGCTCTGCTGAGCCTCCCAGGAGTCCCTGTCTCCTGGGAATGTGAGTTCTATTCATGTTTTAAAATGAGTACTCAAGAAAGGAATTCGCTGAAATATTGTTGCTCCTTCGGTGGAATTAAGAGGAGATTTATGCCCCAATTCCTCACATGATCTTTAGAAAATATATTTATCCATATTGATGCCATTGTAATTGGCTAGTTATCAGTAATACAAAAGGAGCGAAAGAAAGGCCAGACATGGCCGGTTTTGCTCAGTGGTTAGAGCGTCGGCCTGCGGTCCAGAGAGACCTGGGTTTGGTTCCCGCTAAGGGCATGTACCACTGCTGTAGTTTGTACCGGCCCTGGTTGGGTCGTGTGAGAGGCAGCCACTCAATGTGTCCCTTTCACGTCGATGTTTCTCTCTCTTTCTCTCTTCCTCCCTCTCTTCCTCTATCGCAAGATAAATGCAAAAAAGAAAAAAGAAAGGCCAGACAGTATAGGCATTGGCATCTGGGCAGCTTCACCAGGAAGCTGCAATTTTACACTCCCATGCAAATCACCGGCCCATTCCCTGCAGGCCACTGGGAATAAAAGGGTCCAATAAAGGGGAGAAAAATGCATGCGCTATAAAGCCCAGATGACACAGGGAAGGTTCCTGTCAGTCAAAACTGGAAACAGAGATCACGGGCTAGAGTAGGCAGTGCCATCGCAAGCCCGCAAAAATAGGGGAATAGGGGAATATTCCTATAAAAATAGGGGAATACATAATCCATCAAAGGAGTTCATTCTCTTGGCTGTCTTGCATTCGCCCATGTTTCCTCCACGGCCATGTGGCTCTGTAGACGCCCCGTGCAATGGACTGAGGAACTGCAACTGTGAGCACAAGCTAAGCTAGCCTGGTGCTGCACTGGACACTGCTCCAGGATGGAGTGAAATTCTGGACACTGACTCTGATTCTAGCTCTGCTGGAGCCACAGCTGAACTTCTTCCTGGGGGGGACAAAGGGAAATGGGACCTTGGAATCTCAGGGGTTTGTTCCACATAAATAAAACTTTCTACAACACTTCATTCTCCTGATGGGGCCTCTGGAATCTCTTATTCTGGTGATACCTCAAGAACCCTACTTCTACCAATAACAATATTCCTAAGCTCAAGAAATGTGGTAGGATAGCTTTATAGCCAGTAAAATCAACGAGTGACTATACTACTGATAAAAGCAAATACGAAATGTGTAAATTAATTATTAAACTTGCATCCTTAAGTCAAACTGTTAAGGAAGGTGTTAACACATTAGCAAAAGTGGTGAGAAATTTGGAACATGGGAGATACAGGCTAATTTTTTGTGAAGAACATTGAATACAATAGAAACCATTACTTGGTAAACATTTCAGTATATGCCACCAGCTACCCAGAAAATTGGCAGCTGGGAGCAATGAAGACTGGACTTAGGGTCAAACACAAATGTAGGGTATTTTATAGGGTAGAATATTTCAAATTTCAAATTTCAAATATCAATAGATCCTGCTTAGATGCTCTGGAAAGGTCTCAACACACTTGTCTACTGATCTTCTATTTTCTCTCTCTTTTTTGGATTTTTCCGTTTTTAAAGTCCTATTATACTTTTACTAGCTGAATCTAAAATCTAAAGTGGTTCTTAAAGCATATGTTCTGTCATTTTCATTTGAATATTTATGTATCCGAAGCTGGGAATTCTGGGAGCTTTCTCCAAAGACAAAATATCACTCTATTCCGATGCTAAACAAAATCCACCAAGTCTAGGATTTTGCCTTCATTACCTTTGCATACCAGAGGGATAGTTAGATAGTTGAACTACCAAGTGCTAGCCAGATCCACAAAAACATTTTAAGAGTCAGCTGGGTTGAAATAACTGCATTTCCTAAGAATGAGTCCCAAACAATTCTTAATTTCTCATAAATTATAGATAGTTTTAAATATCTCTTTATTTTATTTAAGAATTTTCTAAATTTTATTTGAGTTTTGTTTCCTTCATCCAACCATAAACAAACTATTGGGATTAGGTGCTAGGCTTTCTGGTAATCTCAAATTGTGGGAAATGTTTATAAAGCAAAACTATGTAACAGTCTTCAATTTAACAAAATTTAAAATATCTTTAGTCTCAATCTGACAATATCATTGTGAATTCCTAGGCATCTTCAGAATGTATGCTTCCACATGAATGTATCATTTTTAAGAATTTTTAAATTTCCTTTGTGTTTTTTTTCTCTTCCTTTTAATTAGAAACATTTTCAGATATGCACCTTGAAAGAGCTTTCAGAAATTTAATCTAGATCTTCCTGTAATGCAGTAATATATGAGGTTAATTGTAAAGAGAAGGAAGTTCCTCCTATCACATTAGAGCATGTGGGAGAAATACATTGAATTACTTAATATACATTGTAAACACTTTTATTTTTCATTTTCTCTAGTCATTTTATTTGACACATAATACTTGTGCAATATTTTACCTAGTTTATTTTTCATAGTAGAGTAATTTGTAAAGTTGAATAATGGGGAAAAAAAGGAAACCAGATGCCCTACCATGGCCATCAGCCTGACGATCACCTACCCGCGGAAAAGAAAGAAGGGCAGAAAGATTCACAAATGCAAACATCCTTACCTCATGGTGTACAACAAGGTACCATCCTCCGTGATCCTCAGGAGTTTGTTGGGCATGGTCATGTTGTGAGCCACTGACTTCTTTCCATTGTGAAAAAAAGTATCTGGAGTCCAGATCTTACTCGCCATTAGGTTATTTAACCGGAGAACTGTCATGGGTCCTTTAAATTTTAACCTCTCATCCTTCCAGCTTTGACGGAAAAATACATCTATTGTATATTCCTAGGTGATTATGGAAAATGGCAAAGAAGTTACTGTGCTGTATTTTGCAATGCAAATAGCTTGCACAGACAAAGCACAATTTTTGCAACTTGAGAAGCAAAATACGAGCTCGGTGATGTTTCTAGAAGTTAACGTGTGGTGGCCTGCACATGTTGATGTCAGGCGAATCACTGGTTGGCATAATCATTTTATGAAATATCTTAAATGCCTGAAACATGTCTTGGTCTGAAAAAGTCTGCTGATTATCTCTTCCCATAAGTGAAAGGAAAATAACACCCTACTCCCACCCACCTCCACTACGTCAGCACTTGAAGAGATAGAATATCTTACAAATAAAAATGAAAGTCATGGTGGAGGTTATTACATCTGAGAATTTTTTAATGAGATGATTCCAATTGTAAAGATAAAGCACAGTGTTTTGGGGGGTCCTTCATGGTCTCTGAAAACCTCACACTCAATCCCAAATTATCCATGGTTCCATTGTGGGTGTGACCATCCTATCTCCTTTTTAGCTAAAGTAAACATTTTTTTTAATCATAGATAATGTATGTAGACTTTCAATTCTACATAATGAAGACGAATATGAAAATAAGAGATCTGTTTCACTGGTATTTTGGATCTTTTCCCAAAACACAAAGAATATAGAATATGCGGGTGTGTGAGAGTGTGTAAATGGGAGTGTGTGTGTGTATAGGACACATGAGAAACATGTGAAGCTATCATCATTCTCAGCCAGGGACTCTCTTTATTTGAACACACACAGCATTCCTTGTGGCAATACCCAGTGACAAACACCTGCTAATCTGAGAACAAGCAATGTGACATACCAGCTCCTAAAATTGAAAAGGGTAATATCCGTCTTCCTTGCAGGATTTGCTACACTGACACTAAATTTGGAACTCAGTGGTCTGAAATAAAGATTACAGCATTTTCCATTCATCTTAGCATGCTCCAAACAAGGAGGAAGACGGACTTGAAAACATCATGCTACATTTTCTTAATCCCCCAGAACCCTGATGCATCAGAAAGCTGCTGCTGTTTTAAATCTTATACATTTCAACTTTTTGACATGCAAAATAAGTAATGTCTGTGTTCAGGCATTATGAGCGTGAGTTCAACTACCTATCTCTTTCTCCAACTTCTAGCGAGATTGGATAAAGACCGAATGAAAGTGCATCCTTCTGGCACCCGTTTGGCATTGCTGAGCCCTCACTGATAAGTAACCAACAGTTATTATTGGATAGTTCACGATGCACTAAGCATAGTGTGAAATTCTGATTGAGGCAAAAAAAGAGAGAACTCCTGGACACAGCAGTGTGGTGATTGCGGGGTGGGGTAAGACGGAGAAGTGGGAGAGGGCACAGAGGGTATAAATGATGATGGAAAAAATTAAATTAAATTTTATTTTTTAAAAAAGTGTAACATGATGCCAGCCTATCTTTGTAGGCAAGAGAAGTCCCCTTGTTCTTGTCTGGCAGTGTCAGAGGAGAGGCACTGAGATACATGAGGTGGGAATCGACGCACCACGAATCATTTGTTTAAGCATCTGTTCGATTCTGCAGAAGCAGGAGTGGTTTGACTCGAATGCAGTGAGAAAAACTCTTGGAGGAGTGGGATGGGCAGAGAATCGTGTTTTCCGGAGGAGAGAAACGGGGAGGGAGCCGGGGGGTTCCATCAGGAAGTGGTGCAGGGTACCAGTGCTCGCCAGGGCGGTGGAGGGCATGGATTTGCTCCACACTGTGCATGTTCTCGTCTCTGTACAGGCCAGTGTGTGAGAAAGGGAGATGCTAATGCGGATATTTCCATTATTCAGGACTCAGCCATGTCTGCTCTATTCTCTGTCCAACTGAATGACTTTAGCCCGGTTACCAGCAGAGGGAATGGCCACTTGTAAATCCAGGTTCCAGGGATGTCTAAACTGACCGAATCCCCATGAATCTAAAAATTGTGTTCCTTTTTTTTGCTTGTTCCAAGGGTATTTCTGAAAATAAATGTTAATGTAGGATAAACTTCAAATATATTTATTATCAAATCCTTGAAAAAATCTATACAAAATTTAGTGATTTAAAAAATATGTCAAGCTCTGGCAGGTTTTGCCCAGTTGTTAGAGCATTGGCCCATGGACCAGTGAGTCTCAGGTTCGATTCTAGTCAAGGGTACATGCCTTGGTTGCAGTTTGTCCCCAACCCTGGTCGGAGTTGTGTAAGAGGCAGCCAGTCAACGTGTCTCTCTCACATCGATGTTTCTCTCTCTCTCTCTCTCCCTCTCTCTTTCTCTCCTCCCCCCTCTTCCTACTCTGTCTAAAGATAAATGGAAAAATATCCTAGGGTGAGGATTGAAAAAAATGTCAAGCCCAGCTGGTGTGGCTCAGTGGTTGAACATCAACCCCATGCACCAAGAGTTTTCCGGTTAGATCCCCAATCAGGGCACATGTGGGCCCAATCCCCAGTGTGTGTGGGGGGGGTGGATGCAGGAGGCGGTCAGTCAGTGTTCTCTCTCATTGATGTTTTTATCTCTCTCTTCCTCTCCCTTACTCTCTCTCTAAACATCAATAAAGAAAAAAAGTTTTTAATTAATAAAAAATAAAAATATGTCAAAACTTGAAAAAATTCAGACATTTACATGAATGTCATGTCTACCACCAGCTTTACTTACTGGTGCTAATTGAAGACAATGAAATGTCCAAGTTCATTTAAGATATTCTCTTCTCAAATATTGTGTTTGTCACATAAATGTGCACACGCACACACACACATGCACACACACACAGAGGGAGCAAACTAACTAGACATGTTTTCATTTCCATTTCCCCCTGTTAGAAGTGGAAATGAAAACTGAAATAAAAGGAGTTGATAGTGATCAGCCCCTGCCTCATCAAGAGTGTAACTATTTGGTCGCCCCGTCCTGAGGACTGGCCCTGCAGTGTTGCCATGGCAGCAGCAGGTGGCTCCCAGCAGCTACTGCAGAGCATGACCTTGCCCCCATGGTAACAGTTCAGAGACCAAGGGGGGCCAGAGCCCCTTCTTGCAGAAACTGGAACAAGAGGGAGGAGAAGGCAGAGCCTTATGGTCACGAATATAAATTCTAAACCTGCTAACTCGAGCTGAATCATCTGTGCTGGCTGAACAGGCTGAGGTCGTTTTCCTACCTTCTACCTTCGCTAAACCTCAGCTTCCTGATGGGGGTGAGGGCTGCACTTCGCTCACTCACTTGGCTCACTTGCCCATTCTGAGAAGTTCGTTTTGAGAAGTCAACAGCTTGCCAGAATGTCTGGACCACAGGAAGCTCTCAGTAAATGTTGGATGTTATTATATGTCTCCTGTTTAATTATTTTATTTTTATGAACACGCATTTATCACGGATTTATGTGGCTGGGAATGAAAAAGTGCCATTTCTTTGGAAGGGTGGTAGGACAGAGAACCGGGGGGAAGCGAGAAGGTGATCACAGCAAGCATAGCACCGAGCGAAGGAGAGTCTCCGCTCCACAGAAGGCTGTCTGGACACGCGGGAAGGATTTGTCCAGGGTACAAGTTCCAGCCCCACCACTCAAGTGACAAGTCTTTCCAAGTTACCTGTTCGACCGAGTAGGTCCCTCGAGAGTGTGAGGCTCATGTTGCAGACTGGGACACAGCATGTCACGTTCCTAAATAAGGGTAGTGATGAAGTGTTCCCGCCTGCACTGCTCACGGCCATCTGTGTGTGTGCTGATTTACAACATTTTCAGCACCATGGAGAGCAGGCTGTAGGATTGTACTGCCTGGATATTTCTGTCAGAGCCTAGGGCCTTGGGGATGTGCTGTTTGATTGCTAATTAATGGTTTTTAAAACAAACTGAAGGAGTTGCCCTAATTTTATTTTCTATTCCAGTTGAAGTCAGATGCTTAGGGAGCTGCGGAGTCTCTAGGGACAGACAGTCTGGGTTCAAGTTGCTACCTAGCTGGGTCACTTCGTCCTCTAGGAAGTGTGGATAATGAGAATACTTAGCTAAAATGTTCGGTATGAGGATTCGGTGAAATGGTCTATAAAACCCGTAGCATGGTGCCTACCCTATTGTAAGCATTCAGTAATGTTGAGTGTTGGAATGGTTGTTATTAATTAGATACTTTGTTCGTTCCCACTTTAAAAACTACGGAGCTTTTCCGGCCTTAAAAAATAGCTTTGTCATTCTGCCTTCTGATTTTGATAGCTTCTAAATCATACTGCTCTATCTTATGCATAATTCTACTACAATGTGGTTTACATGATTAATCTCTCAGAGTGGGCAGGCTCAATTGCTACTACCCACTTAGCAAGTCAGTTGCAGACCTATGGCTAGTTTAATTACAAGAAAATATTTCAAATGTTGTCTGGTTCCGGAGTTTTAGGCAGTAGGGAGTATCATTGGTTTAGATGCCCTTCCCCTTCTTCCTAGCTGAGCTTTGACCAAAGGCCATGTATGAGAAGTAATTCATGCCAATCACAGGTTTAATGGTATATCAGAAATCCTATTGTGTCCTTCTAGTCTAAGACCAAAATACTCCTTGGTTCCTTAAATCACAGGTAATCTGAAGCAATAACTCAAAGGCATGACGAATATTTTTTAAAAGAAAAGTTTTTGATTGCCTAGGGCTTTATTTGGGCATTGTCTTTTTACAACTTCTGTTGGGCATCCAGTCTCTGTGGGGCAACGTGCTAGGTGCCAGGGGCAGAGCAGCCATTTATTATTATTATTATTATTATTATTATTATTATTAGAAATAATATAATTGTCAGAGTGTGACGTCTATAATGTTTCATTTTATGTCGTCTCTCGACGCTTCCATTGTTTAGAAGAGAGCTTCACCAGTGTAAGACACCTGAATACTCTCCATTCCCTTACCCTCTTCTATTGGGGGAAGAGGGGAGGGAGGAATAATGTAATTTGATGGTTAAATTTGGAAGGGAAATCAATCTTGCCTGTCTCAGCATCTTCCTCTTGTCTTTACCATTTTGGATGCTGGCTGTTCCTAAGACACACACGTTTTCATGTGTTCCTGCGTGCTAGCAGGGTTACACCTACAGTCTACACTCTAGCAGAGGGAGGCCAACACTGCCTGTTGACTGGAGGGGTCAGTCGGGTTGATCCTGATGTTTACTCTGAAAACCCACCTTTCTGCAGAGATAAGCCACCTTCTACAATGTCTTCATTTTTAGTAATAAAGGTGATTTTCTCATATTCCATATTCCCTACTTTATTGTCTTATTTTTCCCAAGGTTTGGAACTCAGGTTGGAAAAGAGTTATTTATTGAGTCCCTTAAGACTTTAATTTTTAAAGATAATGTAGACTCTCAAACCTATCACCAACTGAGTAGAAGGTCAGCACTTATTGTAAGGCAGCAACGCACTGACACAAACAAATGTGTCTTTGATATTTTTTGGCATCCCTTGAGGAAAACAAGACACGTGTGTAAAAAACATAATTTTACAAAGCAGTGCCACATGTGAAGCCAAAAGTTAAATTGTATCTTACAGTCAATAAATGTGATTAGGATGCTGAAAGAGAAAGTCAATTTGACATTGGATTAATTAAAAAATGTTTCATAAAGCATTTGGGTCTTGATTTGGGCTTTTGTGGACGTAGAGGATTTAGATGGGTGCAGAACAGAGGAAATGTCCATGCAGGGTACATACGGAGTTCAGAGGCAAAGATAATATATAGTATTTTCTGAGCACTGTCGATAGATACTTTAGTTACACATCTCATTTAAAACCCCCAACAGTCTTATAGGAGTGGGTAATTATAATAATATACTCACTGCAAGCTTGAGCGATTTGCCCAAGGCCATGCTGCTGAGAGTGGGCTAGCCTGAGTCCTAGAGCTAGTCCTGCTACCCCAAGGGGTACTGTCCCACTCACACACATTATTAAGGTAAAGGGTCAGCATTGAGAGTGGACAAGTTGGTAAAATCATTTACGGGTTGTATGGAATACAGGAAGAGGAGTTTCAATGTGACCTTAAACCTGACTGGGGTATGAAATGTTTTTCAGTCGAAAAGTAGCTGGAGAGAATAGTATTGTGGGAAGACTGGGTTCCCACCCGGGAGGGTCACAGTAGGTCCTCCGAGAGCAGGCCACATAGGAGCAATATGCTGAAGACCACACAGCCGTCAACAGAGGGGTCTGCAGACTGACCACAGTGACCACTGGGCTCCAGAGGAGCAAATCCACAGTCCCACGTGGCTAACTTCGTATTTCCATTCCTTCCCGTCATAATGGCTCGCATTCGTTGAGTGCTTATTATATGCCAAGAGTTTTTAAGTGCTTTTCATGTACAAATTTACTTAATACTTGGGATCAGCCCATGAAGTATCATCATTACTTCCATCTTGCACATGAAGAAACCGAGGCGGAAAGATATTACTCAAGGAAACATCTTTAGAAATGGAGGAGCTGGGGTCATAAATCCAGGCATTCTGGTTCAGAAGTCTGTCCTGTTACCCACCACCTTGCTGTCTCTCATGTGCTCCGCTGACTCAAATTGGCCTTGTTGGTACATTTTATAACCTGTTTTAAGATCTAAAGTATTTGATTACCCTGACCCAGCATTTCCCAACGTTTGACTCACAGAGCATTCGTTCTACAAAGTGTCAACAGGTGTTGCATGAAGAGAAAGGGTTTGGGACAAGTGCAATTGAAAAACACTAGATGATGTAAAGTTAAACAGGCTTCCTGACCTCAGGGCCTGTCAGGTTTCCAGCCTGCCAAGGTGGGTGCACTGGCAAGTTCGCACGTTGGGAAATGCTGGTCTAAGTAGATATTTTCTATAACTTATTCTCAATCGTCTGAGCTGCTATGAAGTACTTTAAGAAGGTGTCTACAAAATGGCATTTCACAAGTACTATTTGATTAACACAGCTTTGAAATATTCATAATGATGTATCTTTATGGCCTCCTTGTGATTTTTGCCTATACAGGAGTTTGGCTGTCTTGACTTCGGAAATATCACGTAATACCTGCAGAGCTCTGTGGGTGGGCCAGTTCTCATCAGATGGAAGAGAGATTCGTGTTAACCATTGAAACAGGTATGTATTAATTTAATTCACACTCTTGGTAATAATTTAATGAATGTCTTTTGTAATGAAGCTGACTATTTCTTACAGGTATATTTTAACTGTTTCTCTGTCGAATTCTGGTCAAGTATTCATTCAGATTTTATACTCACGTCCCCTTTTTAGCCAAATGTAATTCAGAAATCATGATACTTACGGCGATTCGGCAATAGTGCTGGCTCTTCAGACTCCTAGCATCCTTGGAGTGGATGAGAGACCCAAAGATATCGCCAAGCTATTTCAAGTGGTTCCCTACATACTTCATTTGTATTTTTCTTTCAAAAAGTAAATTTAGAAAATATCCCAAGAAAGCCAAAAATGCAGTGTCACATACCATATCGTCAACATGTCCTCCTAACTAAAACGGGAGATAACTCCTACTCACGCCGTTTGGCCCCCAGAACACAAACCAAGGCAAAGGGGTCATTTCAGGGACAGAGAGAAAGAGGACCGCGGTGATTGTTACCCACAAATAGTCTTGGCATGGGGAGCAACTGGGTACTTTCTACTATATAAATATTATGTGAACGTCATATATTACATATTATACACACAGAGAGACCCAAAGATATCGCCAAGCTATTTCAAGTGGTTCCCTACATACTTCATTTGTATTTTTCTTTCAAAAAGTAAATTTAGAAAATATCCCAAGAAAGCCAAAAATGCAGTGTCACGTACCATATCGTGGTCCGAAACGGGTCCGAAACTGGTGACGAAGATGTCGGTCTTCACTTCCGTGACCCGCTCTGGTGAAGCAGAAAATTGGGACCGTGAATGTCTACCAGCAGCCCTTGTTGGATCTCACCACCGCACACTCACACCCGAATGGGACGGTTATTGGCTTTGATTAGCTATTTCTGAAATTGGTCCACTGTGGATTCCTGATACCTGACTGCTTACACATGAAATTTCACAGTTAATATTTTTCAATGGTGAACAGACCCTAAATATGCTACTTTGCGAGGTAGAAACTTTATGGAGATGTCAGCTGCTGCTTAATGAATTCTTCGAGAATGGACACACTTTCCTAAATGATACCAAAGGCATTTCACATGGTAATAAAAATGTGTTGGCCTATGGGCGTGGTGTAAGCTTCAATATTCTTACCCAGCTCTCCAGATCCTTTGGGTATTTAGGCTGCTCTGGGGAAGTACGGACCGCATGGTAGCAAGCTTTAGTAACCCTTTATGGGCTCAAGAGTATGTTTTATAAACGATTGCTTTCTGTCACTAAATCATAACTGAATTACCCAAATTACTCCTGGAAAAATCTGACAAGCCATGTAAATATCTTCAATTTTGAGCATGAAAAGAACATATTAGGGCACAGAAAAATTCATTTAATAGATTCCATTTGAAGTTCAATGTGATTTTATTTTATTGGTTTCTGAGGCTTATATATCAGACAATAAAACATATTATAGCCCTGACTGGTTTGGCTCAGCGATTGGAGTGTTGGCCCGCATTCCAGAGAGACCCGGGTTCGGTTCCTACTAAGGGCACATACCTTGGTTGCAGTTTGTCCCCAGCCCCAGTTGGGGTTGTGTGGGTGGCAGCCACTCAATGTGTCCCTTTCACGTTGATGTGTCTCTCTTCCTCTCTCTCCCTCCCGCTCTGATTGAATAAAAAAATGGAAAAATGTCCTCGGGTGAGGATAAAAAAAAAAAGAAAAGAAAACAGATGACTTTGTAATTTTCAGCTTTAGCTCTGAGAAATAACAGCTCAGCATATTAAGCAATTCATTTCATTTATAGGGGCACGTATCTTTGGTATAGGACATTAAAGTAGTGATCCGATTTATGCAATAATAAATTTTTTTTGAATATCAATTTTATCCCTGTACAATTCACTTTTAAACCATTAGTACTCTCAGACTAAATTTCTTTCAAAGAAGTCATTATATAGTACAAATAATGTGTACTTCAAAATATAAAATAATTTGGAGGTAGCTTGGCCAGTGTGGCTCACTGGTTGAGTGTCGACCCATGCACTAGGAGGTTGCCAGTTCGAATCCTGGTCAGGGCACATGCCCAGATTTTGGGCCAAATCCCCAGTGGGGGGCGTGCAGGAGGCAGCTGATCAATGTTCTCTCTCATCGATGTTTCTCTCTCTCTTTCCCTCTCCCTTCCTCTCTCTCTAAAATCAATAAAGAAAAAAAAAATATATATATATATATATAATGATTTGGAGGTAGAGATAGTCCCTTCAATAACCAATGCAATATATATTGGTTTGATTTTGCAAACAATTTGGCTCCAAAATGCTTAAGAGCCAGTCGACATCAGAATTATCTGGGGTTTATTCTTAAAAAACTTCAAAATGGAGGATATAGTTCAAGACACTAAGTAGAGTTGTGTTTTTAGAACTCACTTCCGACCTCAGTTTTAACATTTCTGCACCACCTGTGTAGCTTTGAGGGCCGGACAGCTCTCAGCTCTCAGCAGTCAGTCTGCTGTGTCAGCCGCTTGCCCCTCACGTGGGCTCCCATGCTTGCAGGCCCCTTCAAGCAGTCCTTTGTTTCTGCGGTTGATTTTTATTTCTCTCCAGGTTACAAACTGAAAACCTTATGGTGAACCTCTTAAAAATCTGAGGGACATCTATGGAATTAAAATTATATCCACTCTTGCCCGGCCGGTGTGGCTCAGTGGTTGAGCATCAACCCAGGCACCAAGAGGTCGCTGGTTCGATTCCCAGTCAGGGCACATGCCCAGGTTGTGGGCCCGATCCCCAGGGGGAAGCATGCAGGAGGCAGCCAATCGATGTTTCTATCTCTCTCTCTCTTTCTCCTTCCTCTCTCTCTAAAATCAATTAAAAAATTTATATCCACTCTTTTACTTTGATTAGCAGGGATCTATCATTAAATGCATGCTCATTTGGGAAGTATATGAACCCCTGTCTGTGCTGGGCAGCCTGGGGCAGCTCTCCTGGTCTCCTTTGTCTCTAGTACCGACTTCTTGAGTACGGGGAGGGTAAACTTTCTGCACTGCAAGGCATTTCCCTACAGTAGCTAGCTTTACAAAACTTGGCTTACCAGATGTTTTCGGAGCAACCCGTCTGTTTTCTCTAGCATGATAAAGTGCTCTGAAGATGAGACAGCCACTTGCCAAGTGGATGTGCTATTGCCCTCTGCTGTTTTTAGCTTTCTATATAAGCAACAAATTATAAAGGCCAAGAAGCCCATTTGTAAAGATTACTGTACCATTCAAATAAAACATAAAACACGGCTAAATTACATACATTTGTTGCCAAAGTTGTTACTGGGCCATGTAGGGATTAGGCAGAAATGGGAAGCAGGTCACCTCAATGGCTATAACCACATTTTCAAAGTCTGTTTCTCTGTTCTTTGATCTATCCTTGCCCCTGTGTGTATTTATCACACCATCATCTTCCAATGCTTCATCTTAATTCTTACTAGCCACCTCCCTCCAAGATCTCCCAAAACTCACCATTGTAATATCCCGAGGCATGTACCTGACCAAGACCCCTCCCCTCACGCGTCTCTCCACGGTCCCTCTCTCCATGCACCGCGATCCTACAGCTGTCCTTAGAGACATTCTGAGTGTTGCTGCTTATCCTCTTTCTCCTCCGAACATATTCACAAACCCTACACTAAGGTGGCAACATGTCCAAGTCCCCGAACTGAGGGCCGCCTGCGGGACGGTGGGAGTGATGGTTTGGAGGAGGGAGACGCTGCGGCCGCGCAGTGAAATCCGGGCTACCATCTAGCGGTGGGGACGGGTCCTCGGAGGAGGATAGCCACTGCTTCCTGCACTTTCCTTCCTGATAGATTTCCTTGACCGCATGCTCAGGGCTCTGACTTGTCAGCTCAGTGGGTGTCCGGTGGAAAGGAAGGTTTCCATCGCCGGGAAACTCCGCCTGCTCCGTAAGCGTCGGAAATTCATCACGCATGTTAGTTACCATCCAGTGTCTCTAAGAAATTATATTTTAAATAAATGTGCTCAACTTTGTGTATCTGCGTGTTTTTTCAAACTGATTAGGCAATGCTACTCTAAAATAAGTTACAACGCTGGCTGGTTTGGCTCAGGGTTAGAGGGTCAGCCGCGGACCAAGGAGTCAAGGGTTCCATTCGGGTCAAGGGCACACACCTCGGTGGTGGTTGGATTCCGGTCAGGGTCGTGAGGGAGGCAGCCAATCAATGTGTCTCTCTCACACCAATGTTCTCTCTCTCTCTCTCCCTCTCTCTCTCTCTCTCTCTCTCTCCCCCCCCCTCCCACTCCCTCCCTTCCTCCCACTCTATCTGAAAATAAATGGAAAATATTCTCGGGTAAGGATTTAAAAAAAAATTATAAAAGCTTTAGGGTAAGCATGAGGCCAATATAATACATCCTATTGTTTATTAAGAAATAAATAATAAAGTTTTAAAAATATGTCTGTATAGTATAAAGTTGGAAATTTCAGAAAAACATGAAAAAAATAAACATTTCATGGAATACCACCCTCCACATAAATACCCTCTTAATATCTTGATGTATTTCCCTATTTTGTTTCTATTCAAAGATATGCTTAATGGTTACCCTCAAACCACGTTCCCACCGAGTGCAGCGCCAGTGACAAGGAACAGACTCCCTGGACCAAATGTCCGTCTTTCACTGTCGCTCACGGGCAAGTCCCTGAGTGGTGCGTGGAGTGCTGCTGCTTTAAGACAGAAGGGTTATAATCTGGAGCGCAAAGCTTATAATCTGGAGCGCAAAGCTTATAATCTGGAGCGCAAAGTTTATAATCTGGAGTGCAAAGTTTATAATCTGGAGCGCAAAGTTTATAATCTGGAGTGCAAAGTTTTAAGGTAGCCAGAGGCTTGTTGTGGTGAACTTCAGATGGCAAACAGTGGCTAACTCGCTTTCTGGGAAAGAAATGGGGTTCTGAAACCCAGACCTCTGCAGGTTCGGGATCAGGCTGAAACAGAAGAGGGGCTGGTCTGCGTGTTCTCTGACTGAGATCTAGGGAAATGGTGGAAGTACATTATTTTCCCCGTTTCTGGGGAAATTCAGTCATCTCCTCCTCTCCGCTTCAGGTTGGAATCTGCGTGGGGTGGGAGGAGGGGATGTATTTATGTAAACTATTTATTATCTGAGGAGCACTGGAACATTAGAATCTGAATCATCTGCTCTAATGCCAGCCTCTATTGACTTAGTGCTGGGCTCTAAAGTGTTAGTAGAAATACCTAGAAAGTACTCCAAGCCTTTCTGTGGATTACATGAGGGAAAGATACAGTGTATCTATCCTTCCCCAGCCTGTGTGGCTCAGTGGTTGAGCATCAACCCATGCACCAAGAGGTCGCCAGTCTGATTCCCGGTCAGGGCACATGCCCAGTTGTGGGCCCGATGTTCAGAGGAGGACATGTAAGGGTGGCCAATTGATGTTCTCTCTCTCTCTCTCTCTCTCTCTCTCTCTCTCTCTCTCTCTCCCTCCCTCTCCCTCTCCCTCTCTCCCTCTCCCTCTCCCTTACTCTCTCTCTAAAGTCAATAAAGAAAAAAATTTTTTAAAGATATATTTATCCTTCAAAATACTCTGTTTAAGAGCATACAACATGAGTCAGAAACTTCTGATGAAGTTCAGCTAGAATGATAATACACCTAGCCAAAGTTAAACATGAATGAACCCCTTACCTAACTAAGAAATAGTCTGAAAAATGAAAATTATTTAAAATAACTAGGAAGACATGTTAAAAGGAAAGATTAATCAGCATTTTTTTCAATCAAATAATTTCTTCATAATAATCCTGCACT